TGTACGCTAGAGGCATGGTATAAAAATTTAAGAATTTTAGGTGTAGGGATTTTTCTCACGTTTGAAAATTGTTCAGAGTTAAATAGAATAAACTATTTGCCATCATGCAGGTCGTACTATGTGGAATAACACTTTTCAAAAAATTGGAACACCAGAAATTCACTTATCTGTGTGAATTTAACGTATCTTTGGTGATTCAGAAGGTATTTCATGTATTTCTGGTACCTTTGAACTAATACGAACCTTCATTACCATTATAATTAAGACATGCAGACATATCAAGTTGTAGAGACTTCTGATGAGACAAGGCCATTTCAACTTAGTGTAGTTATTAACTACAGATATTCCATTCTTATCTCCCTACAGAGCCAGTGTTACTATTTTCAATGTTGATACCTTCATTCCCATAAAGATAAAAATCTCCAAATTTAAAGGTAATTCCATTTCTTTGAATATAAGTTTTTCAAACCACTATTTTCTCCTAGTTTTATTTGTAGGACTATGTCAGGTCCTCCCAGTGTTCATAGTCACAACTCCCTGTTTGGTAATTTTCAAAGAAATTCATCAGGTTGATCAAAATATAGATGGAGAAGTGAGTGGATACTGATATAAAACAGACTGAGAGTGACCATTCTTAGTCTCAGCTTTGACACCACGTGGACACATGCCACTGATGTTACTGACTCTCAACATTGGAGCTCTGATAAGCTCAATGCACAATCGGTGGGAGTCAATGTTCTCTTAAAGGAAAAGCTCTACCTAACAGTTTCTGTCAGAATTTTTCATCTTTTTAAATACAGTCCTTTGGACCTTATTCATAGATTGTCCCCTCTTTTACAAAAAAGGTGTTCTTATTTCCTTTGGCCAATGTGTTTCCAAACTCACATTTGTTCTTCTTGACTGTTTTTATCAGGCCAGGGCAAACCATAGAAACTTCAGATATTTGCAAAATATATCAGTTTCTATTTTACATCACTTTTCCTATAATTTTCACACTTTACATTATGTGAACAGTTCTTAAGGAATGTATATAGTATTATTTGTTGAGGGTATTTAAATACCTCCTCTTTATTTATGCTCCATAAATAAAGATAATTTTTGTGTTGCTCTTTTATTGTCTCCATATCCTGCCCTTGTCTAAGGCATCGCTTTTTCTTTTTCTTTTCATGGGAACTGACCCCTCCCACTATCATTCAAAGTGAGGAAGGTGAAACCTAAAGTGTTTTCCCCAATCTTCTTCCACCTATTTCTTTATTGTTTATTAAAATTGTAACATAAAAATGTCACTCTGAAGAAAAGCCTTGGGTTCATCATTCCCAGCTCCCCTTCCCTGGGAAGAGAATACATTACCTTTTAATCATGTTGGCCGTGCTTTTCCTTAAGGCAATAAAAAAAAAGTCTCAACAGAGGATGCCAGTTATAACATGTATAAAAAATGGAATTAAAAATGTTTGATGACACAGAATCAGTTCCATAGGGACCCCACCCTACCCCCATATTTCCCAAGTTTTTATTTTCTTCTTGCCTTCCTCTAGTCTCTCTTCTTAATTTTGTCTTGCATGATTCTTCCTCCCAAACACATCTTTAGGATTTCAAACAGGCCCCCTATCTGAATTTTCCATTTCTCCCCCTTCTTTCTCACTAGCATGCTTCTGCACTGATTTTCTAATGACTCTGTACTCTGTCTACAAATATTCATTGAGTTAGAAGTCACAATCTGCCTTCTCCTCTGATGTATTTAACTACATAGGAATCAAGTTCTGTGTGATTATGTCCTTTTTCTTATTGACTAAATATATGGACTGGCTTTCAATTCACTGCATAGTTTTCCAAATGGATTTATTTTGCTGGTACAGAAGCATGCCTATCATCAATCTTATCTTTCTTCTTTAATGATTTTTACCTGTCTTTCAATTGGCCATTTTCCCCAATCACATTTCTAAATCTCCATTTCACGCGTTGGATGTTAAACCCTACACTTTTCATGGTTTAACATTAAGTCATGCCCTATTATGTGGAATGCTGCCTTCTGGGTATTTCCTAGAAACTCTACCTATCTCCCTTCTGTTGAATGTAGTAAGTATCCTTGTCTTTTGTCCTATTTATTAGAGACTGAATGTTATGTCAGCTATTAATGCATACTACTTGCAATTTGAAAATGAAAATTCTGGTAGAAGCTCCTATAGGAAGTAACATGTTGGTCTAAGGGGTTCAAATTTCTCTCACCCTCTGTTTATTCTTAAGAAACATTTTCAGTAACCCGTTCTGCATGAACACCATTAAAGTTTTACTTTTTCCAAAAGCCTTCCTTGACTTTCCCCCCCTTGTTTCTGCTTTCTACCCTCACCTGGCTCCCCACCCTCAGCTGCCATGAGCCTAATGTACCCACTGAGATTGTGTGCGTTCATTGGGGTGCTGTGGTCAGCTTCCAAGGTGGCTCCCAAAGATCCTGCCTTCTGTCATTCATGCTGTTGTGTCACCCCAATCCCTGCGTGTGGACTGCACACAGTGAACTGCTTCGAACAAACGGAATATGGCAAAAGCAATGGGATGCTCTTTCTGGATTTAGATAGCAAAAGTTCCTCTCTTTCTCTGGCTTTTCCTGCTTGCTCACTCTAAGAGAAACCACCTGCCCTTTTGTGAGCTGTTGTGTGCAGAGGCTCACATAAAAAGGAAATGGGGGAGGCCTCTGACCAACAGTCAGCAAGAAACTGGGGTTCTCAGTACAACAGGCCACAAGAAAATAACCCCCCCGCCAACAACCACGTGAATGAGCTTGAAAATGGCTCCTTCTCCAATGGAGCCTTCAGATGAGATGCCCCAGCCCCGGCTGACATTCTCATCACAATCATGAGAAACCTACACCCAGAAGACCCAGCTAAACTGCTCCCATAATCCTGACCCACAAAGTCTGTGAGATAACAAACGTTTGTCATTTACATCACTTAGTTTTGGGGTAATTTGTTACATATCAATAGATAACTAGCCTACATGCTATTAGAAATTTGGTTTATATATCAGGCTCTTTTCATTAGCCTGTATAAGGAGTGATAGTGTTCCAAGGAAAAAGTCAGCTGTTTCCCCAGGACCTAGCATAATACCTGGACCATAATATTGGCTAAAAAATATTGATTACATAATAGATCTAATGAGCACTTTTCAATTCTCTAAAACTTTTTTAATCACCACTGCCAATGAGTTGGTGTATCAACTGAGTTTTGCCTGAGTCTGTTCAGGCTTCTACAACAGAATGCCAGAGACGGGGCAACTTACAAAGAACCAAAATTTTTCTCCCAGTTCTTGAGGCTGGAAGGTCAAGATCAACATGCTGGCAGATTCGATGTCTGGTGAGGGCCTCCTTCATAGTTTATATGGTCATCTCCTTGCTGTATCCTTACATGGCAAAAAGGGAAGAATACTTCTCTGGGGCCTCTTTATAAGGGCACTAGTCCCATTCATGAGAGATCTACCATTATGGCATAATAACCTCCTGAAAGCCCTTCCTCCAAATATCATCACATTGGGCATTAGGATTTAACACACAAATCTTGAGAGGACAGAAGCATTCAGTCTATAGCAGGTTTGTTGGTAATTGATTTAGGTAATCAGAAAAGAAATCTACTGAAAGGGTAACAAGGAGCTCCCAGAATCGAGAAAGGGCAGAGAAGAATGTTCAGAGAAGGCACAAGCACCAAGAGTGGCTAAAGTCTGTGAAAGCTCAGTCAAACTCCTACCCCAGGAACATTAATCAGGACACCATGTGGCAGGATACTTGGGCACTGCTAGACTTTGGATTCCACTGCTGCCCCTGTGCATGATCTCTGGTCATTCTGGAGTTGCACATCCTTCCCTAAGGCCGGAAGTTCTGAGTGGAGCCATCAATTGACTGAGCTGAAGTAATATGCCTGCGCCTCTGGCCAGGGTACAGAGGCAAGGACTGCCTGCCCACCTTTTGGTCATTGAGGTGAGTTCATACTTCCCTCCCAAATCACCCAAGTGGTATTTCCCAAAGGGGAAAGGAATCAAATGCTGGGGAGCCAAAAGTGATGAATGGTCATGCTGTCAAGCAGTAAATGAATTCTTTCTAAATCCAGTAGGAAACCCACCCGTTAGAGGAGCAGCTCTTTCCTCAGAAAGAACCTTAGTATTTTCTTTTAGGTAATTTTGTTTTTCTTTTTTTGAAACTTTCTCACCTAATGGATTCCTTTTTTAGTACAAACTCTTTAGAATAATAGTCCATACATAAATATTAACCACTACTCCTTTCTTGCCACCCACGTGCCATCTATTATAGTCCATTTTCTACTCAGGTGTGTAAAGAAGTAAAAGAGCATGTTTATATGTTTTCTTTTCTCAGGTATGAAAAGGCCTAGATTAACATTTTTAATCCAAAGAAAGAAACTTATGAAGCACCCGGTGCTGGGCCTGGTACCCACTGTAAAGTCGATGAATGGCAGTTTCCTTTCCACCACACATGTTTTCCACATGTAATTTGATTTTTTCCCCCCATAAAGTTTCATAATGGTGCCCCTTACCATGGAAATAATTATTATAAATATTAATCTTCTCTGCTTTTACCTATATTTGTTAATTATTTATTTTCAGCTCCAACAAAAACCCACTAAACCTAATTCTCATAATCTAGATTTTTTTTTTTTTTTAATATTATCATTTGCAAGTTTGCTTGGCCTTCCTTCCTCCTTGTTTCCAAATTTCTTCCACCTTCTGGTGGAGCTGGAACATCGCACTAATGACCCCCTTTGCTTGTTTTCCTGGATTTTTCTTGAACTCCTTTCTCTACTCCCATGTTTGCTTGTATTCAAAGGTCTTGATCTTTCCAGTTGCTGGCTTTCTCTATGTGTCTTTTCCTCTTCACAGTCTCCTTCTTTTGGCCTTCATTTTTTATACCCAATTACTTTAAAGGTTCTTCCTCAGCTGGTTCGGTGTGGACCTGGTACCTCTTTGATGAAGTGGTAGCTGAGGAGGCTCTGGGGCTTGCCATGACCAGCAAAAAGCCCAGAGAAGGAGCCATGACTCAGAAAAATGATCATATTAACTTAGAGGTGGTGGGGCGGGGTGGATCAGTGGTGCAGTTTAAGATTAAGAGGCATACACCACTTAGTAAACTAATGAAAGCCTATTGTGAACAACAGGGTTTGTCAATGAGGCAGATCAGATTCCGATTTGACAGGCAGCCAATCAATGAAACAGACACGCCTGCAGAGTTGGAAATGGAGGATGAAGATACAATCGATGTGTTCCAGCAGCGGACAGAAGGTATGTACTAAAAAAGGAATCTGCTACTTTCCTCCAGAACTCTGTTCCTCCAGACCAAGAAGGAATTCTCAATTAGAAAACTGCCATTTGGTTCCACCACATCTTGACTACTCCAGTATGGTTTTCGCTATACTTTCATTTTCCCTTCCCCGTTCCTTTATTGTACTGATATACGTGCATAAGCATTTGCATTTGTTTTAACTAAATGGCCAATGGTATGTTTTGATCAGCATCAAATAGAGGTAGGATGGGAAAAAATACTGGTTCTGTGACTATACCCCCTTTCTCAATTAGTGGCATGCTCATTCAGCTCTTACCTTTCCGTATTCCAGTGTTAAAGTGTTCTGCTGTTTAACAAAAAAAGAACAACAAAAAAACCCTTACATACTTTGTTTGATTGGAGAACCTTAATGTTTTTCATTTATCATGGTAAAAACAAGGAAAATTTTATATCTTTTTTGTACATAACTGTTACATGTAGGGTAATCTGTCTTTAAGTAGGGATAAATTACTCTAAAAGAAATGAATCCCAGATAGTTTTCCTTCAAGTCAAGTGCCTTGTTGTTTAAAATGAAAAAATAAAAATAAAATAAGAGGTTTTTTTCTGCATCTTCTCCCATATTCAACTTCATATTCACATCTCTATCTTAGTTGAAGAACTCTCTAAGAATATTTCTGTCTCTTTTTCTGCCTATTTCCCTTCATGTCAACTATCAATTTTAACCATGCATCATTAATTCAACTTACATTTATTACATATTTATTCTCTGACTAGAACTGCATCAGGTGCTAAGGAGACCAAAAAATAATAACTGGAATTCTGCCTTCAGGAGCTCAAGATCCGGGAAAGATAGAAAACTTCTAAAACAAACAAACAAACAACAACAACAAAAACACATAAGCGTGATCCTAAGAAGATAATCAAAATGCTTGGGAGCACAACTAATGGAGGGGTGGATTCTGCCTGAGAAGATTGAAGCAGGCCTTACAGAAAAGATGGTGTTCAACCTAGGTCCTGCTGGATGGACAGGGTTTTGTTAGACAGAAATTGGAGAAGCTATTTCAGGCACATGGCTGAGTAAAACCATGCGTTTGTGAGTTTTTCAGAAGGGGACAAATGGAGTCTGAAATCCAGCCCGTGCTCAGCTTGTTCTCTGATGCGGGGCTGTCTCCGCCCAGAGGAAGGAACACAACAGCATCGCTAGTGGAACAAAAGTGCATGATTTCTAAGAAGGAGGTACCATTCAGCCTATCATTTTTGTCCTTTTGCTTCTAATCTCTACACTTGAAACCCCTATTCATGAGCCTTTCCAAATTTAAATTTCTTAGATTAATATACACAATAGATGAGTGGGCCAGCCTCAGAATCTGCAGTGTTTCCAGGAAAATGGGTTATTTCACTCTTTTCTTTCTCACATTTATAATGTGTTTCAACACATATAATGATAAACTATCTCTTTAGCTTTACAAATATCTTTAGCTACTTTTTCTAAATAAATGTTTATTGCCTTTGACTTAATTAAAGCTACTAGCACAAAGTTCAGTCACAAGTTCTTTTCTTTTTCTTTGCCTACTTCCTATATTGTTCTTCCAAAAGAAGTGGCTCTTTTTTAAAATGCATACATGCACATGCATACACATATTCCCACATACCCAGACTTTCTGGAATTTCAATAAACCACCTATCATTTTAGACTTGAGAGCAATCTAAGAAGATAAGAACTCAACTTACACCTCTTATCTACTGACACAGGAACAAAATCTCAGATACTAAGGGATTTACTCCAAATCATGGAGTTAGTTAACAGAACAATCATCTCCAATGAGAGTTATTGCTGATGTTTCCATATTGTTGATGAATCATTTGGTCTTCTTTTTTTTTTTTTTAATAACCCTTAGATCCCTTTTCTTTAATCCTCACCCAAGGACATTTTTTTCACTGCTTTTAGAGAGAGAGAAAGGGAGAATGGAAGGGAGAAAGAGAGAAACACCAATCAGTTGCCTCCCATATGCACCTGGACCAGGGATTGACCGTGCCCAGACCAGGGATCCTATATGAAACCCAGGCATGCGCCCCTACCGGAAATAAAACCCGCACCCCTTCAGTTACTACTGGATGGTGGTCCCACCAACTGAGCCATACCAGCCAGGGCCACTTGATCTTCTTCATATCAGAAACTTAATTTGGGATACATTTTTCCTTTGCTAACTTTTTTATTTTTAACTTCGAAATCTCTGCAGACCTAAGGAATTAATACATATTCCAACAAGTTGCCCTTTCTTGCCTTTCCTTTTTTAAATATTAATTTCCCTATTACCAGTTTTTTTTCCACACTTGTGACTTTGGTTCTGTCTTCCTGTTATAGCTTATAATTTGCCCCCTGATTGCTTTGCCAATGCCATGTTTAGAACATTCTCAGACCCTTCCGGAATGATCCTGCCTTTCTGCCTGGGCTGAGCACCTCTGTGTTTCATCCTTCATCCACTTCCTGGCATCCTGACCACCTTCTGGCTGCTTTGCTCTGCCCCATGGCAGGCGTGAGAGAGAGGGTCTCCTGTAAGACAGATATCCATATCCGCCCTTCATTAGCTTTAGCCCTGCTATTCATTCTTAGAATTTGTATTCATCTTTCTAGAAAGGTCCACAAAAAGTTTTTAGAAACAACTTGGGGGTAGCATATAAATATGGCATTAATGAATATACAACTTAAAACATACACATGGATTCTCTTACCTCAGTAACATCCTTATATTTATTACTTTCTCTCTCGAGCCCTGGAACTTCACTTTATAAGATCCGCTTCAAGTAGCCAGAGCAGTCTTTTAAAAATAAAAACCGGGTCATGTCACTCCTTGTTAAAAATCCTCCAGTGCTTTTCCATTGCAATTAGACTGAAATCCAGGCCCTTTACTACAGCGTATATGGCCCTGCAGGATATGGCCCCTGCACCTCTTTGACTTCCTGCTTTCCTACTTGCTCTCCTGTCTCACGGAGCCCATGCTACACTGACCTTTCTATTTCTCAAACTTGCCAAACTCCTTCTTACTTCAGGGCCTTTGCACTTCCTGTTCTCCCTGCCTAGAAGGATCAGCCCCCAGAGCTTTGCTGGCTGCTCCTTTCCAGCATTCAGCACCCTCTGCACTTACTCCCTACTCTGTCACTTCTCTTTTCTTCCTTTGCTATAACCACTATCTGAAGTTATCTTGTTCATTCATTTCTGGTTTGTTATTATTGGTATCCTCCCTCTGGAATAGCATTGTCCAGTGCAACTTTCTGCAGTAAGGGAAATGTTCTCTGCGCTGCACAACATGGTAGCCAGTAGCTGCATGTGGTAACTGAGCACTTGAAATGTGGTTAGTGAGACACAAGTATGTTTTGTGTGGCTTTATGTAAGAAGTCAACAAAATACTAGAAAACATCAGCAAACTCTTGTATAAGTCATTGAGCATCTATTGCTGAAATATTACTGTAATTCTGGTGGCTCCACTTTAATAAATACCTAACAAAGCAGGTCGGGGAAAAGGTAAATAAAATAAAATAATGATGAAAGAATTTCTCCAGGGTAATGTTAACCCAAATAGTACCTTGGTGTGGGTTAGGTGGAGGGGTTCATCTTTGGTGGACATGGCCGTCCAGCCTCACACCTTCGTAGGAAAAGAGACTACGAGTTGGATTTGATCCCGCACTCACCTCCTAAGCAGGCTCCTTTGTGCAGGGCCAGCCTGCACAATTATAAGCGTTTGCCCAGTGTTTCTGCAAAGGGTTAAAAGTATTTGTATTCTTCAGCCTAGAATGGTTTGAATGGTGGGCAACCAGTCACATAATAACACTTTATAAAATTGTAAGGTACATGTTTATATATACGGAGAGAGAAAGAAAAAGAGAAAGAGAGAGATGGAAAGAGACAGAGGGTAAAGGAGAGTCTTGTTTATCAGTCTTGAAACACTAGAATTAGAGAACCACTTTGGAACTGCGGTGCCCTAACTCGAAAAGATTTCAAAAGCAATTAATACTTTTCACAAATAAGCTTCTGAAACTTGTATTCCAGATTATAGACTAAAATGTATGTCTGTTAAACAAGAGTTCCAGTAAGCAACTATAGATAAAAAAGAATAGTTCAGCACTTAAAAATAATTTAATATTTCAAAATTCAGATCTTCATGATCTCAAGGCTATATTACAGGATGTTGGTCATCTATTCCTATTTCATGCCCGTGACTACCTCTCTTGGACTCTGTCCTTGGGAGGTTACCAGTGATTTCTCTTTCCAGAATCATGTTTTTCCCTGACTTCTCCCTCCTTGATTCATCTGCGACACTCGGCTCTGATGACCACCCACTCCTTGGAATTCAACAAACGTTTTATAGAGAGCTTATTATGTGCCAGGCACTGTGTAAAATCGCAAGGAAATAAAAATCTGTTCCCTGAAGGAGTTCATAGTTTATTGAGGGAGGCAGGCATGTAAATAAGTAATTTCACTACAGTATGATGAATACAAAGAAGATATATGGTCTGGAGCCTTAAGTAGCGTACAGAATGGACTAATTAACACCACTTAGAGATAGGAAAGCAGATATTTCTTTCCTAAGAAAGAACCCGAGTTTAAAGGATGGTCAAAAGTTTACTTGCCAGATAATGTGGAAGGCCTGCCATTCCAAATAGAAGGAGCACAACATACAAAGGATGGAAATGTGAACAAGCAGAGAACTACAAATAGTCTGAAATTGCGAGGGTGAGATGTGTGAATGGAGGCACAGTAGGTGGTTAGGCTGCCTCAGCCCTGAGGCTGGAAGCAGAGAAATAATGGGATCAGATTTGTGCTTTGGAAAGATCACTGTGGTAGGGAGTAGGGAAGGGGGAAAGAGAAAGGCAAAGAGACCAGTTAGGGACGATTATAATGAGCCAGGGATGTGAGGATCAGAATTCTAATTATAGGCCTTGACTGCTTGGATTAGAGTTGTAGGTCGTTCTTCTGTATCCTAGAAAGTGCACCTAAGCCTCGGAGATTGG